CCAGAAAGCTCAATTCTGTGTTTATCTTCAAAACTTCAGATCACGAGTTAAAAAAATAACAGACATGATAATTTATTTTCTTAGAATGTGGAGATCTAAAAGCTTTTTAGAAAACAAAAGGAGAATCGTTCAACTGAAAGAGGAAATTGAAAGTTTTGTGGTGCGAACCGTTTGTGGTTTCGCTTTCTTTAAGTTCTTCAGTTCGTTTCAGTGTAATCGTTGTGAAAATACAATTGGATTTGCGTTGCAGCTTATTTCAGTTTCGAAAGCTGAATGAAGGACGTCATATGAACGGTGAATCTTTTAAATTTGTCCGGATCGTACGGGTTTGTTTGAATTCATAGGGAAAGAAAAATCGCGGGTAAAACCGTATTAGCACAGTGCAAGTGCGCAACAATACAAAACTATTTTTCTACGACATTAATTACCTATTTCTTTGAAATAGCGCCCTCGGTTTAACTTTATTGCGCTATTCGTGTTTTTCGTATCTTTTACTGAATAAAAGCAGGAAAAGCACTCTTTGTTTATTTTGAGCTCTTTCGCTTCCTTGTGAGTGATCGGATGATTTGAGTGAAAGTTTTAGTCCATTCGTTTGTCCAAGTCCCTTTTTCATTAAAGACGAAATGAAATAATACCTGAATTTTACAAAGGGAAACAATATGTGGAACTCTGATGCGCGCCGCTATAAAAAATGAGGAGTGACTCTAAGTCCATGCAGCTAATTGTGGGTCTCTTCGGTGCACCATAAATGTACTATATTCAGAATAATTGACTTTAACTAAAAACTTCCTGTGAAAACATACGCAAGCTTGCAACCTTGGACACAATTGCATGACTAAGAATTTCGTGTTGCAACGCGCTAGATCCTCAGGGAATCTATTTTGGTGAGAGTTCTTCCTCCTTTTCCATCGCTGTAACCCATATTGTCTCCAAGGAACTTAACTCCATGTTATTCAAGTCACATCTGCATACATTAGTGCGCCAAACTTACGCATTATTTATTTACAAAGTTTATCATAAAGTTTATTTTAAAAACTGCGCTTCATTTGCGAGATTATTTTTTACAGCGAGAGTGTCTCTAAGTCAGTGCGGTTTGCTAACGATTCTTCGTTGTAAATTATTCTTTTCCTAACCATGAACATCCGTACTCGGTGTTTTTCAGAGTTAAATGAAAGAGAAACCACACCAAACACTCTCACCCCGTGACTCACCACATTTTCTCGTTACACAGGAAACACCAAGGAAGGCTCCTTATTACCCTCTATCGGGTACTAAACCTTTCAATGGCTTTGGGTTTTGGCCAACGTTTCACACCTGGCCACATCTGTTGGATCACGATTACATGACCCCATGGTTCGACCCAAGGCCTGAAATGAAAGGTAGAAATTGCAAATACTATGCACTTCAATGTTTATAAATCAAGAGGTGGTTTCATTTAAGTCGCAAAATGCTCGAATAACTTATTCAAGGCTAGATAAAACTATTGTGATTAATAGCAATAAATGGGAGGTTTATTAGATCTTCACTGATGCATTACACAAAGGTTGAAGCTTTCTTGATTCTATTTCAGCTCTCGATGGTTTATCTCTAATCTTTGGATTTTGTTCTTTTCTTTGCGCTATTTATGTACACCGCCGATTTTTCCTTAATATTTTCCTCTGCGTTTTGTCATGCCATGTAAATTT